ATCAATTTTTACGATACAATTTTATTTAGAATAAGCGAAATAAATCCATACACTAAATCATACAGAAATCTTAATTTTTTTCACTTTTTGTATATTAAAGAAAATACTGTCGAATAAATTGCAAAATTGTAGTTCGACTAAATAAAATGTTTAACAATTATTGGATGGACAAATAAGTGCATGGATTTGTTATACTGATAGAAAATAGTTGATGTTTCGTTTTGAAGGTCGAATCCATACCCTTCGCTAGACAGTCGATATTCTGCTCCCCATCGCAGCCCAGACACTCAAGTTATTCTGTAGGAAAACAACCCCCCCCGCCGGGCTCCACCCTGTTTCGCCAAACGACGAATTACAGGGAAAAAAATTTGTTCCGCGAAGGAAAAAGAGAAATGAAAAAGTATAACGAATATAAAGAATAGTAACAGAGAGAATTTCTTTCGTTTACGGATTATTGTCTATTTTTGTTTGTGTAAGCTTAAACAAAATTAAACAATGTATCATCAAAAGATAGTCACTTTTTTTATCTGACTAAAAGTATTCAATACTTTTCGTATGTATAATCCTTATTCATTCTGTCCAATTCTTCTGAAATTCTGTTTATTTTAAGAGGATTTATAAAACACGTCTAATATACAGGGTGATCTTGAAAAGGAGATCAGGAACTATATCTCAGAGTGGATAGTACTCTGCAAATTTATTTACGTTCGAAAATATTCGACACATATTTTTTCTAGTAACGAATATTTATGTTACGATGGTGAAATTACTCTCTAAAGTTTAGAACTAGGAAATTATTCATCGAAATAATTTGATAACAAATAAGCGTGGAAAAAGAACGAAACGTGAAGATTACGCATTTTGTATATAAAAAACATTTAACGAATATAGGTTAGGAAATCAATCTTGTTAAAATTAAGAACAATCAGCGATGTGAGTGATTTGATGGTTTTAATAATTATTAAGCAACTTTTGCAAAAAAAAACTATTTATTATACACTTAAAATTTCGACATTTTTTAGCCTACGAAATGACCGATTAAAAATGACGAAAAGATAATTGTCGCTTTTGTCAGAAATAAAATAAAAGTACGCAAAATTCAAGCGATAGTATAATAATAGCTATTTCAGAAATAAAATTTATTTATATATAAGCCAAAAAGCAAATCATTCTGCGATGAGGTTATTGGCCGCAGCATGTACCCTGAATCTCGGAGTTCAGTCTGGTCGAGGGTAGTCTAGCCATGAGGGGTGCCTACATGGCTCAAGTTCAAGGACACATCGGTCAATAAACGCAGACGAGAACCGAAGGAGGGGGAAGAAAAGAAACGAAAGATAAAACAGGAAAAAGAGGAAAACAGAAAATCAAACTGAATACGCGATTCTTAAATTGGCTTAAATCCAATATACGGTACAAACATGTTATCTATAGAATTTGTAAGGTCTAACAATTTATATCACTTAGTCGATCGGTTATATCATTATTCTACTATTCTCAAAAAAATGATTTTTAAAGATTTTAATATGTTGTTCTTGTCAGTCTCAAAGAATTGTATCAAATCTATTAGTATTCTTGTTGACGGGTTAAATGAAACATGAGTAGTGAAAAATTGCTCTTTTCTGAAAATACTCTTGTAAAACCGTTCGTATAAATTGTGTTAACTCGTAATGTAGTACGTTGTCTGTTTATTCGCAATTATATTGCACAAATTATTAGAAGTTTCCCCTGTTATGTTATACAAATTAGAAGTAAATGGCAAATCATCCAATATTTTATATCCAAATGTACAAACTATATACAGTGTATATGTATGTATATACAGGTCGGTCAAGCAAATCTGAAGGTTCAGAGAGGAGTTATGGTCAGGAAGTGGAAGATGGAGGAGAATTTGTTACGTTTTCGTTGATAAATAGCCAATCGCGATAAAATACGGCTATCGCACTTACTCTCCTATGAATAAGGATAAGCGACGATAGAATCTCGAGTGAGCAGTCGGTAACAGGTAGTGGTATGCTTCTTTTCATTTCTGTCAGAAATTTTTGGGCTTTACGAGCAATTTTTTAAAGCGTCGATGACTATTTTTATTATTCAGGAGTAATAAAAAAATTTTACTTCTTAATTTTCTAAATCATAAAAAATATTAATACATTTCCTGAGATTTTATTTACACTAACAGTTTACTGTGTTTGGGTATTTTGGACATTAAAGTTTTAGATGCTAATAAATGTTTGTCTTCTGCGCTAATTCAAGTAGAAAGACAAGGCGAACAGATAATCTTTTCACTTTCGTATTCTTTTATTAACGCGCGATATTACCGACGGTTGGTTAAAATCTATTTATCTATCTACACCAAAACTTCTCCTCAGGCGAAGACAGTCAAGGACTGTAAAGTAGTGGGGATAGCGTCCCCGCCTGTTTCTGCTCACTTGCATAGGCATGCGCGTTAGAATCTTCAGGTTTACTTGGTCGAACTATACGTTGTTCCATATTTCTAAAACTCACCTTTCTGTCAGGGAAGAACCAAGGAAATAATTTTATATTGACGGTACCGCGATAATAAATCAACACCAAAGTTGAAACATATTCATGATATCTTCAACCCGTAAAGTATAACCCGTGAACTGAATCTGATCAACAGATTTTAACTACTTTAATATTTCTTATAAAAATACCTTTTATTTACTATATTCACAAAAACTCAAAGTTAATGAAATCATTTCGAATGTCTATATAAAGATTTATAATACAAAGACTTTGTACAAAAGTACAAATGTTTTCAACTTCTCTATTTCTCTTTAACTATTATCATTTCTTTTACTTAATATTGGAAAATCAACATATCACACATTTCTGAACTTATTTTTTGTCAGCTTCAACAATATAACAATAAAAAAAACCCTTGAAGATTTAAATCGTATTTTTTATTATGATGATTATAATCAATCTTGACAGATTCATATTTCGCAAAAATTATTAATTATAGGAAATAATGTTAACGCAGTAAATTATAATGTTAATGAAGTTATAGTAAATAATATTAATGAAATAAATAATGTTAATTAAATATTTATAATTAAAAAAGAAACATCTCAAAACAAATAATATAGTAAAAATAAAAAATATTTATTACTTACCAGCAGGACAAAATCGACCCTCTGGTCCAGCAAACATAGCTAAATTTCTATTTACTGGTACAGTATCATCACCCAAAGTAAGATGAGGAGGTTGATCGGCTTCATGATTTGTACCAGTAAGAGCCACTGAAGATAGTAAATCAAAAGATATTTCATTATCTGGTTTTGGATATTCAATTGCTGTACATTCAGATGCTGGTTTCAATCTCTTATAATCTGGACCTACAACAGTTATTAATTATAATCAGTTGTTTATTATAATTATAATAAAAATATGTGAATTTCTATTTCATCATTCATTTTTTGTATAACTTGTTTTACCTCCATGAGATAAGGTCCATGGTTCTCTTCCACCAGTTAACATTGAAAATCCAGAATATAATAAGCCACCATATATCCCCAAACTCGTATGAAAACTAGGCCTTATATTTCTCACAGCTTTTAATTCCTTATAGATCCAACTATTTCTTATTTTTTCAGTATATGTTTTTGGTTCTAAACCTTTTGTTGATGATGGATTGCTTTCTGCATCGATTATAGCCTCAATTATACTTTCAGCTGCAAGCATTCCACTTTTCATGGCATTATGTGTTCCTTTAACTTTAGGTACATTAAGGAATCCTGCTGTACAACCAACAAGACAACCACCAGGAAACTGAAGTTTAGGAATAGATTGAAAGCCTCCTTCTACTAAAGCCCTTGCACCATATGCAATTCTAAAATAATAATTAAAAATTTTAAATCAAATACTTATTACTGTGACTATGAAGAGAAATTTATTCATGTTTAAATGTTACCTCTTTCCTCTTTCAAGTATTGGTTTAATGCTTGAGTGTTGCTTAAATTTCTGAAATTCCTTAAATGGATGTAAATAAGGATTAGAGTAATCTAAACCAACAACAAAGCCAATAGCAATAAGAGGTGTATCTTCATTAAGGTGATACAAAAAGGAACCACCATAAGTATCTTTTGTTAATGGCCAACCAACAGTATGTTCAACAGTACCAGGTCTATGCTTCTTTGAATCAATTTCCCAAACCTAATGTTAATAATTACCATCTTATATTTTGAAACATTTTTTTCAAAAATATATGCAAATTTTGTGTTATATTAATTACCTCTTTTAATCCTATACCATAAGTCTGAGGTTCACAATCTTTTCTAAGATTCAGTTTCTTTGAAACCTGTTTTGTAAGGTGACCATGACAACCTTCTGCAAAAATGGTACATTTTGCATGCAGTTCCATTCCACGCTCAAAAGTATCTTTTGGTGAACCATCTTTAGCAATACCAACATCATTTGTAGCTACTCCTTTAATAGATCCATCTTCATGATAAAGCACTTCTGCTGCAGCATATCCAGGATATAATTCTACTCCTGCAGCTTCAGCTTGTTCCCCAAGCCAACTGACAACATGTCCTAATCTACAAAGGATAATAATTAAAACAGGAATATCCAAAAAAATGTTCATGATTAATTTTCATATGCTATTACAATTTACTACCTAACTATGTAGTTCCCATGATTGTACATTGGCATTCCTTTCAAAATAGGTATTGGTATTCTGCCTTTTTCAGTAAGAAATGCAAATTTGTCTTTATTGACAGGAGTATTCAATGGTGCACCTAATTCTTTCCAATTTGGAAATAATTCATTTAAAGCAATTGGATCTAAACAAGCCCCACTAAGAATATGACCACCAATAGTAGAAGCCTTTTCAATTACTGTAACTTTAAGTTCTTTTCCATGTTTTTCTGCTAATTTACGTGCTTGAATTGCAGCAGACAATCCAGCTGGACCACCTCCCACAATTAAAATATCAGTTTCATCTGCATATCTTTCCATATTTACATCTACAAAACATATTGTATTCTTAAATGTATGTAATAAGCATATTTGATTTGTATTTGTTAAAATGTCTATTTTATACTTCTATATTCATAAATCATATACCTTTCCACCTTGGATCTGTTTCTCTTGGTACAACAGTATAATGAGTTGTAATTTTTGAAAATGTTTCTTGTGAATAGGCTCTTTGAAAAATCCATTTGAACCTCTGTACTGCCAAAAAATGTGATTAAAGTAGAATTTTAATAACAATATATAATTTCTTAAAACTTATAATTAATATTAATCTTCTTCATTTTTAAAATTTTTTAAATTGTTAACAAAATACATTTTAAGGGATTGTGTTCGAATTTTTGTTTTTTAAATTATGCGTTACAAATGTATGTTAAATTATGTTTATACATAATGGTGAAAGAATATTACGTTTAAATATAGACTGCTTATAGGTACAAATAAAAATATAACGTACTTGCGCATAAGTTTCCTTGCCACTTGTAATTCAACAAGTATGAACTATATGGACAGTATCAACGAACAAACGAACCTAACCTAACAGTAAAAATATAATGAGAATCTGTCTGATCACCACAATATATTTCCACTTGTACCTACATACACACTACAAATATAATGGAACATATCAAATGAACAACGGACCTATGAAATAAAATTTTGCTTTGGCCATCATATGCATATAGAGTAGAGCAAAGTTCGCTAGAGTTACGTATACCGTAGCAAATATTTTTATATGATCCTAATTGCTATAAAATTAAATTCGATAAGGTAATGATTCATGTATATTACGAAAAATTTAAGTTTTTGTAACTTATAAAACAATATATATGTTTTATAATAACGTAACGTAGGTAATAAGATTCAAATGAATTGTAAAAAACAAAAAGACTTCAATATAAAGTTTTTAAAACGACAATCACTCATTTAATTCTAATAATCAACTATTTGTTGGAAAAAATATTAAATAAATAATCATTACATACATGATCCTATGTTTATTTTGTAAAATTAGGACAATGATTTATTTACAATAACTTACTATCCGAATGAAGACATAAGTGGATGTTCAAATTATTATTAGGTCAAACACTTTAAAAAATCATTATCAAAGTGAAGTTTTATTTTATGTAAAATGAAATTAATACTAACAACAAACTTACGACTATTTAATGTATTAGACATTGCCAGAGCCATAATTGCACATCACAATGAATGAACTATGTGATCGTGATAATAACACCCGTTATCTATATCTAGAACGTGTATTATCCCCATCAAACGAAACTTTTGAGCACTATTATAAACGGAGTATACGCACAGACGATGTACGCAATAACGCAGACGAGTTTTTCAACCAACTATCGGTAACGTCGCACGCTGATAAAAAAACAGGAAAATGAAAACATTATCTACCAGCTTTCTACCTGGGTTGGTGCACAAAACAATCATTTAATAGCACCATAGACGAGGTACAGACACAGACGACGTACAGGATAGCCTTAGCATCTTATGGGACTTTGGGGATTTGGGGGTGAGAAGAGTTTTACTATTTTTGTGTCCTCACCAACATTAACGATTCAGCATAGAATAAGAATACAACATTAGTAGTGATTGGAATTAGAACTAAACGTAAAGAATATATACTTCTATACGAAGTATAAAATTCTATACTTCTAAATGTGTAATATATACATTAGGTTGAATTTCGGGATTTTTTCGATTATTACGCGTTTCTAACGATATTTGGACTTAGTTTATTTAATTTTGTAATGGAATATTATTTAAAGAATGAGTGTTTTGCAAAAAGAAGTGGATATGGTGTGTAAGGGAGAAATAAATAGTCTGTAAAATAATTGTTTTATTAAGCTAAATCATTTAATACAAATTTATTTAATACTTTCAATAATTATAAACTACCGTCTAAATTGTTATTTAACAAGAAACACTAACACCCTGTGTATTTTTCGCCTTCGTTCGTTTCGTAGCAGCGGTAATTTTATGTATGACGCCACGGCAATCGTAGTCTTTCAATCTAAGAACTTGCTTTCACCTTTATTGCCTTGTTTTCGACTTAGAATCTTCGCCTTTTTAACTTGTACATTTTTTGCATTCATATGGTCATCAGAGCCGAAGCGCGTCTTAACTACGGTCATTGTTCGAGGTACTCGGAATTGCCGCGTGCGTCACTCAAGAGTACACTTGATACCTGAGAGTGACCTATGGTCTGGGGGGTGGCATTTTCGTGTAGCTTTCCCACCTATGATTTTAACCAATAGTTTCTGCCAACCACCCTTCCCCACCACTATCGAAAATGTATTCAACCTATCCGAGGGCCTCACCCCCGCGATGCACGGAGGTGTCGTGGGACCTATCGCTGAAGCCTACATGTATATGTAGGACATGGAAAAATATTTGAGTTGTATTGCGTATATAGGATGTTCAGTTAATTAGTTAGTAAATGTGATAAGTAAACAGTAAATGTAATATAAATGTGTATTTTAATCATCCCATTACCCGAGATCTGACAAGTGCATCCTCTTATTGAAACTAAAGGATGTTGAAGTAAAATGAAAAGAAAAATGTATTCAAAAGCATTAAGATAATATATTTGTTTATTATTTGTCGTAAATTATATTTTGATTTGTTTATATGCTCAACTTTAACAAGGAACTTAACAATTTCAATATTAGTAATATGAAAACATTAAGGATCGTTTTATTTCGGTTCAAGGAATCTTTCGTTTTATATTTAACAATTACTGCACGAAATGGATATAATACTTAAACGTTTAACTAGATTAACAACGCTTTTGTACGTAGCGCAGTTCGATTCGAGATATTAAAAAAATATACAGTGTAATAATTAATAAGTTTCCAGACTAATTCAATGAGAAAGATACAATAAACATTATAAATGTTATTATACATTTTCAACAATATAATTTTCTCGTTGTCTCATACAAACTTAACAAAGATCTTATACTTTGAGGCTCCCTCTAGGATCGTATTTAATTTACTAAATAATATGACACAAACTGGGTACACATATTTCGTTTGCTTTCAAAATTTGTTTTAACCTTTCCTCTTTTAATTTCCATTCGAACTTCTAATGTTCCATCTTTAATCTCTCTAACTTTCCACTTGTGATCTGCAAATACAGTTGTTTGCAATGTGCGTGAACGAACACTTCTTGTATCATCTCTCCATTGTCTATCGTTTTCAAACATTTGTTGCACTTCCAGTATTTAATATGTTTTGGTCGTGAGATTGATATATTTTATTCGTAATATGTCGATAAATTTTATTACACAAACATAGGTAACGAAATTTACGTGTGGTTACTCACAAAATTCGACGTAGACGGGCGTAGATAACAAAAATCGTCGAGAAAGTAAATATAATGATAAGTATTTATGAATACAGTTGTAAAGTTTGTGTTTTATTGAACAATCCATAAAGACAAATTTATGCAAAAGTGAAGAAACGTTTTCCTAAAACAAGATGAAGCGTATATGTAGTGAACAGCTCCGGCATTTTTTATGATTTTTACTTTTTAAAAATTGCAAAATAAAGTTAAAATTTATACTTATACTCTCTGAAAAAATCTAAAGTTTTCATTTAGTAATTACCTATGAAAAAAAATTCCCAAATATTATCTATTTTGTGATGTTTCTGAATGGTACAAGATTATTAAAAACACTCATAATAAATTATTTAAGTAATATAAACGACTTTCAGGCAAAATTATCGGACGAAATATTTCTTCCCTTTTACAAAAACAAAAAACAATTGATTGAATCCGTATTAAAATAATCACATACCATCATTGGTACCACCGGATATGCGACGAAGTATGAACGTATCAAATAAATATTGAGATTATGTTATTAATTAAAAATATCTGTTTCTTCATTTCCATATAGATATGCATAAAAGTGTTTCTTTTTTTTTCATTCTTTATGGATTGTTTAATGAAACGTACAAACTTCATAAATATAGTAGTTTTATTCACAAATATTTATCATTATATTTGTTTTTTTGACAATTTCCGTTAGCTACGAAAGTGTACGCTTAGTTTTATGAGTAGTTGTAATTCTTTAAAATGAACGTTTGTATTGACTATTCCAATTGTTTTACAAAAGTGCGCGACACTAATAATATTCAAATAATAATATCAGTCCGGGAACATTATTGCCACACTGTATATCTAATTATAACCATTTAGAAGATTGTACATTTTAAATCAACATTAGAGTTGGGCATTCAAATTTATAGAACATCTTCCCCGATAATAACATATATTCTCTTATTCAATAATTTTGAAAGAATTTCATCTTCATAAAATTATAAATCTTCAAAATGTGCATGTGCTATACAAATATTTATATAGTGTATTTATATGTATATACAGAGTATTTCACAAGATATGACGCATATAGATAGCATATAATTTGTTTTAATAAATAAACCGTTCGTTAATATTTTCAATAGACTATTGAGCGTCAATTTTTAATTAATCATACTTAAAAATTATGCACATCTTTTGTAATATTAAGTTTCGTTACTGTTATTACTTCGTTTTACATATTTATATTTAACAACATGAAAATGAGAAATTTTTCGATGTAAAATGACATTTATATCTTTGATATAAAACCACAAACAAGAATATTAGTTGGATTAATGTCGTTTACTGGAAAACAAATGTATCATAAAACGTGTGTAGAAAAAGCAAGATGCAAATGGATTGAACAAGGAGTACATCAATTTTTATCAATTGGAAATATTATTATCTAACGGATAACATGAAAGAAACTAACAGCATTATAAGTATCTAAATTTGTTACATAGTCAGTATTTTTAATTGTTAATTACTATAAAATTAATAATCAATAGTCATATGAAAACATGGTAATTTTACCTTATTTTTTTAGAATTTAAATTATTACAATGCAATATACCGTATGAAATACCCTACATACAGTATTTCGTAAGCTTTACGCCAATTACTAAGAGAAAATTCGGCACTCTTACCTAACCTAACTTTAAATTTGTGCTCCTTAAAAAGCAAAAGCATGTAAACAAGTAAGCAATATAATTGTAGCATATAATTGTATGACTTATAATACCGAATACTACTTAAAACGGAAGTAATATCGAACATATGATGGTTAATTCGATGAATTTCACGCAAACAATTTTACTGAATTTTCAATTAGTCGTTGTTTGGCAACTTACGAAACAATCTGCGTATAATATATTTATATATTATGTACAAACGCATTATCGAATTCGTTACAGATATGCTATTGCTGCGATCAACCTACTATATGTATATTAAATGTATATATCTTTCATATTCGTAACCGTTGTTCGAGAGAAAAATCGACACTAGTGTTACCGATCGCTGGCTTTTCTTTAATTACTAATAAAGTGTTCCCCTGTGCCTTTACACAGTTCAGGGGAAAATAACACGTGGTCTCGCTTTGTACTTTAATAAGTAATAGACAATAGAATCATTGGTGTTTCATTTTAGAAAACTCTAGAAATGACCGTCCGGTTGCTCGAGTGTTCTGAGATGAAAAGACGCTTCGACGTACCGGACGCATGCTGGTCCAAAGCGTCTTTGTATTATCAACCCCTTGTCACTTTTCTTCTCTGACATCTGTAATATATGTACAGAATATCGATGTATTTTTAATCAGCATTTCAAATAAATAGTGTATTGATCATTCTTACTACAGAACATTGAATACATATACAGCATCAAATAATAGCCAAGTACAAGGGGTTGAATTAATACTACGATATTCGAAAGGTGAATGACCTAACCTCTCGAAATTCTATTAAAAAAAAAGACAAACAGAACTTTTGTAATTATGATAGCACAAAATACACATATACTCTATCGCTTCTTTAAAATAAAATATAATTACACTCAAAGAATAAATATAGAATGGAATATAAATTCTTTCATACATGATATTATTATTATTCGAAGGATTTTTGCACTGACTTAGAATTCCATTCTAGTCACGTTGCATTGTCCTAGCAAAATTTCATAGTACAGAACATTTATGGTTGTTTCACAAATATATTTCTCTTGAGATATTTTTGTCTTTACCATTGCATTATCATTACAATGGAAGTTCTTTGTTTGTAGGTCCATCTTATAGGTGCTCACAAAAGGTTTCCATTAAACGCACATTCCTTCCGATTCAATTAAGCCGTTCCTTTTTCTTGCATCAAAACGTGAAATGTTTTCTAGTTGCTTCTTTATGGTAATTAAGACTACATGGAACTTAACGTCTGTCGTAAAATACCGTTTCTTTGATAAAACATTAAAAGAAAAATAAACTGTAGCATGTAAGAATTTTTGCGTGTATGTAAACGGTAAGGCGATGGTCAGAGGCATAGGGAGGGGGTAACGCACGTTCAAGTACGGGCCAAGATACGGAAATCCGTATAAAAAGGGCCTGCTTGCCCGCTTAACAAGCTTGAAAAGGTTGTCGGTCATTCACGCCTTTAAAGCATTTCACAAATCCACATAGAAAACTTCCGCAACAAGCCGATACCTCTGGTCCATCACCATATCTATGTATCTTCCAATATTTCACCCTCCGTCAAAGTTCTAAACCAGTCTGGATATTCGGACTCGGTGAACTTCCTTCGTCCACCGCTGTCCGCTCTTCGGTCCGGCCGAATACCCCCCCTTCGAGCCACACAACCATCGTCTCGCCGTAGCCGCCACTAACATATAGAATACGCGAAGTGTGCTATGAAAAGGGAGTTTACCGTGATCTTTGGTGCCCGACACGGGCCCAAACCTAACAGTGGTATACAGAGAGAACAAAAACGATTACAGTGGCGCTCAACGTCTGAGTCCACCAAAACCTGTGTAGTGTTCTACAGTGGCGCCCAACTTGGGGCCAATAACGTGTGAACATTTTACAAAACTCGTTTAATTGTAACATTTGCGTTATAATAGTACACAAAATCAGATTTTCTACGTAACTATCTACGTAATTATTTTATTCTAATAACACGAGATTATAGTAGATTTGTTCAGATATAGAAACAAATTCCTCTATGATATAAAAATATTTGAGTTGCCAGGAGACAAAAATATTATCGGCATAAATGTTCAGTTCCTGCCAAAGAAAATACGAATTGTATCGATTAACTAGAAAAAATTATTAAAAGATTACAACAATTCCATCGTTATTTATATAAAATAACACTGACGTATTAAATAGCCAATGATCAATTTGTAACTTCTTTCTGTATATGATTACAGATCTAATAATTAATCGTCGTATTAAACGCAAATTTATAACACAAAATCGGTGAAATATTCCGCTAATACCGAAATAAGTATCTACAAATGGACTGTGCTTATTGGTTTCCATTCCAGTGAGTACATTATCGTGAAGTGGACGGCATTGGATTAAACTGATTTGACATGTTACAGCAATAACACGGAGCTAAAATGTTTGCGTTCCTTAAGTGAAAATACGTATAAATTAGAATGTTAACAATCAATTCAAAGGAACGGTTAAAAAATGTTAGTGTACTTTACTTTTAAGGGGGTTATCTCATGTAGAGCATTAAAAAATCCACTTTTAAATATTTTCTAATAGCTTACTAAATATAGCTTTAGCTAAATTTGGAGAAGTGAATGTAGAGGTCAAAAGATGACATTTGATGACCTTTAATGATACCATACTGAAACCGCCACAATAGCGGCAATGACACAGCAATAAAGCAAATATAGCATCCCACTTAAAAAAATTGAGATGAGCTTGCAATCTCCTCTACGCCTCCACCTACGTAAAAAGTATTTACATCACATTATGTCCCCTTTCATATCATGGAAGTTTTGTATATAACATTTTTCCATATTATTACAAACAACGGAAATATTCCGTGTGGACAAAGTTTTTGACCCACCCTGTATATTATACCATAGATGAATTGATAAAAGTTTCATTGAAAAAAACCTCGGTTTACTTTCTTTGAAAATAAAACGAAAGGACTTTCCGATCAACCTAATATGTATGCATTATGGAAGATAGAAATCTATACTTCGGGCGCGATTATAAGATATCCTGTTCTATACTTTATTTGTAATTTCATAGTTACGTTTAGTTCTAATTCCAACCACTACTAATGCAATCTCATTCTATGCTGAATCGGTAACATTGGAAGCGACACGAAAATGATAAGGGGGCTCTAGAGCCTCAAAGATGTGGACAACAAAATGCATTGGATGATAGGTCTATTCTGTAATGGGTCTAAAAATTGGATTGTAAAAAAGAAAAGAAAAGAAAGAAAACATTGATCAGACGTCTGAGCGGAGAAAGGAGGTTCATACAGCTCGCAGAAACGGAATTTTACAATTATACAACCATTTTGTGGAAGAGGAAACTACTATTGCAGATTAGCAGTAGATAAAGCAAAACTTTTGAAATATTAATTCAAATCTTTAAAAGTCTATTTCTCAAAACTTCATTTTTCGTAATTATTAACTAAATTTGCGTTAAGAAATTTCATTCCAAATGATAAAATATGAATATATAAGTATACAAAGTTTCAAGCTAATAGCTCCAATTGTTGTCATTGTATAATATATACTTTCGGGCATTTATGTAGGATAACCCCCTTATGTACTAATATTATCATGAAGTACCGAGTAAATAGCATAACCTTAATCAGCTTATATACAGCGTTTCAGCGAACGTTAGAATTAAAAATTTCTCCGCTCTTTTTGATGATACGAAAAAATATGAAAAAAACAACATTTAGTATGAAGAGACAAATATTCGAAAAAGAATTTTTTCTCAGTCATATTTTCCGAAATTCATCTATTTTCCCATCAATATCATTTTAATGCCTCTAGAAACAGAATTTATGATGGAGACGCTAGCACTCGTAATTTCCAAAAATCAGTGTTGACTTGTATTTTCTAAATTATTTTTATAATTAATGGATACGTCAAGCTATTTAAAACTGTATTATTATTGTAGAGACAAGCATATTTCTGCCAACAAGATGTAGTTTTAGCGCCTTGTTCATCTTCGTGAATAGTAATTACGCATCATAAACTCAAGGACAAACGCTCGTAATCGGCATTGATACTCCTAAACCGAACTTTGGAATATTTTGCATTCCGTTTAATAAAAAAAAATTTCCTTTAGACCGAGAAATATAATTTAGTTGAAATCAACGATAGACATTTTAGCTGCCAATTTGTTAATCATTGCTGCGCAAGTTTTTGCGTATCTTAAACATAATTGCATATGTCGAAAAACTAGACAGAATCTTAATAACTAAAAAAATGAAGGCTTCAAACGCAATTTTTTTATTCTTGATTTTCACCCTGTGTAGCAGCACAATGATTACCTTGCTAACTACGCGAGAATAACAAGGGGAAAATTCCTTAGAAATTTTTCCATCCTCTGGATTGTGAATAATCAGGCTGTTTCTTTCTGTTTTGTACCTCTTACGTATCGTTAAATCATATAAATTAAATAAATTCAATTACATTATACATTTTTATTAACCTGTCACATTATTAGTACATATATTCGGATAATACTTATAATTAACACGGAAAGCAATATGGTTTCTAGCACTATGTGCATTGAATAGAAAATGATAGCTTAGTTCGGTCAACGATTAAAATAAAATGATAAATTTTTGTGACAAAATAGAGAAGATTATGGTCATAACAATATTGACACTTTTACTAATTTTTACTGAAATCTGTTCCCACGTGTTATATCTCACGTTTTCTATTTTTATGAAATTTGTTTTTTCAAGTAGCATTGCACAAGAAGCTGGATCATTTTATTTATTAGTTGTTCGTCTTCCACTTTAGAAAATCTAAATTGATTTCTATCATGACTCGACATTTTTGGAACACTCAAGAATACATGTATTAACACGTTTCTTCTCCCGTTGAACTTTCTATTCAGGCCTTATATATTTTCTTTTAATTTCAGCTGTGTAACAACGACGATGATTTATTACAAAATAAAAAGTGTTTTGAGTAATGCATTTGAAACATTGCATCTTGTCCTTGACAATAAAAAATTCAGTAAGGCATAGCGCATGCGACTTATGAGGTCACCAAAACTCGGTCCAATATAGAACGTATTAATAGTAATCTTATTATATTTTATACATTCAATTATAATTGAATCAATATAAAGTTATTTTAGTATTACAATAGTTTGAACATAATTTTAAACGATATTTCATAATAGAAAGTATAACGTTAATGATATTACTCAAGTATTTCCAAAAAGAAAGAGAAATAATGATCGAGAATGAGGAAAACAGCAGTGGATAAGTTATGTCTTGTTTTGTACATTTCATACTGCTTTGGAATTTATCATTCTGTATAAAATTTAGTCCGTTGTGAATTTATCTCTATAAATATTTTACGTACACCCACAGATTAAATGTCGGTTCGACTGATTAAGAAAATGACAATAACCTTATTATCCCAATGATATTTCGGAAAAATATGACCTTGAGAAAAGATTCTTGTCTGCCGTAATATTTATTTCTATGTACCAAATATTTTTTTTATACACGTTCATCAAGAACATCGCCAAAAACAACGAAGAAATTTTAATTTCTAACATTTGTTAACTCATTCTGTACATTATTTGAATTAATAAATAATTTTTCTACAATTTCACAATATTCAACGTACCTTAATTGTCTTTGCAATTTCCGACCAACTTGTCCTTTTCGTCCATGCTTACCACATTGTTTCTTAGGCTCACATATTAATTGCTATAGTTGTGCACTGTTGCTACTACTAGTATTTTCTCCTTGGCTCATACAATCCAACGAAGTTTCTCCTCTCTTATCCATATTGCGACTAGAATTACTTTTATTATTAGAACCTTGCATTTTGTTTTTAATATTATGCATTGTAAAATATTATTTTGGTATTACGTGATTAAAATGTACATAGCATTTTATCATATTTACTGTGTTTGATATACACTTGGATAAATTATAGTTGTTTACTTACCCCCTGTGAATGAAAGAAGTACTAGTTCGAGAAATTTCATCCACTCTTTCTGAAAAAGTACGTGTATTTGTCCGATCAATTCCATACGTTGAAAACTTATTTCTTGCGGCAACTTCTGGTTGATGACTATCGGTTCGTTTACATTTCTCGCTTAAGGTATCACTGCTATTTGAACTTTCCGGTTCATCTACCGGCAAACATGTTTTAACCATGGCTTCCAGGCAATTAACAAATAATTGAGCACTTTCAGCTGTGCAATTAGACTGGAAAATACGTTACAAACGTATATGTTAAAATTATTAATTATATTAATAGTAGATGCAGTTAACAATTAAACTTAGTTATTCGTTAAGTAATACGTGTATTTGTTTACTTACATTTGTATATGGGCCTGCGAATCTCCATAATCCGCCAAATCCACAACTTTGCAAGTAGTGTAACTGCTGTTGACTTGTATCCTCACAAGCAATCATGTTCTGTATAATTGCACGTACAGAATTCAATATACCTTGATCATGGCAGGAGGATAGTACACTATTGATTTTTGCATCGAGCAAGTTATGGCTATAAAAAAAATTGTTGGTTCAGTAAAATATGATCTATACGATTATTTCCTCAACTATTCGTTATGCGAACATGATTATATACTAACATTACTGGAAAAACTTTTGGGAACACCACTGAGGCTTCTGCAAGATATTCATATAGAATCCGTTGTTCATTTTCGTCCGTTGAATTTTTAACTAAAGTGACAAGAACGGTCAAAACCAAGGTTTGGGTTGAAAAATCTGTCAATACTTCTGGGTCGAGCAATACGTTATTTTCGTTGCTCACGCTTACTCTGGCACTTCGATTCTAACAAATTACAAGAATATTAGTGTAAGTATGTTACTTTCAAATTAATAAATATTGCAAAAAACAAAATGTTTTCTCGAATGTTTTAAGTGGCACGACGTTGTACTCATCAATTATCTTAAAACTTTGGTTTTATTTTCATTCTGTATGTGTTGAATAGAACCAAGGAAATCATTCGAATTACTAATATCAAAAATGTCTTTGAATCAGATTATTAATTAATTCTCTTTTTCTTCAAAAATATTCTGTATACTAATATAAAATCAAAGATCCATAATGAAAATTGCAATAAAACCAAAATTTTAATTGTTTAAAAATACTTTATTTATTTAGATATGAATAAAATTATGATATTTATTAATGTGATAAGATTATATAAGAAGAATAAGACATACCTTCGAATCTGTTTCTTCATTTGGTTTTGCTTCCTTTGCAGTTGGTACAGAAAAAGATCGCTGCGTTTTAAATAAAATCCGTCCAGTCTTGTTAATGACGAAATCCTTATTTTTGGACAAATTGATGTAGTATGACATATATACATATATAAGTGACAAGTTGCATCATGTTTTATACAACCCAGGTAGAGACAAGGCAGATATAGGCAGTTGTGAGTTTAGACACCGAAACAGTAAACAGAGGTACATATAAGAACACAAAACAATAACAATGTTACTTAATATAAAATAAAATTTCTTCCTTTAGACTATGCTATAAATATTTCGAGTGTACGGATATCTCCGGAACTCCTCAAAATCTTTCGATTATTACCTCCAACTTAAGCAACAAACAACATTTTCACTCAATAATTTTTTAAATAAAAATTTTTAAAATAATTGATATTTTTAATTCCTGATGGTAATTTTTATTGGTCTACTCTGAATAGTGCACATGCAAGTTACAGTAAACAGTAACATTTACTAATAAACAAATATAACATGGCCATAAATTTACTTTTATCACACATAATTTTCGTGATCAAAGAAACTTTAAATATCAAGTACTATATGATGATATGACGGTATCGATGCTTTTGTCAATAAATAAAATATGAATATTGTAGGTATGCTTATTTATGAAGACCAGATAAATGAGACATTAAAAAATGCATTGTAGTTATAATTAATAAATAAACATACCTGGTGGGTTGAATAATATTTTTGTTGTCTAGCTTGAGTAAGAGCAGACTGATCCAGAAGGTCCCATGATTTTTGTCGACGATTAGTAGGATTACTGGACGTTGGTATGCTTTCCTAATTCTTTAGGACATATTTTATAATATATTACAACATTTTTTCAATTTTTCATTTTCAAGTTATCCCTGATGTGACCACTTACATATATAATAGATTATATGTATGTATAGTAGAGTAGTAACTCATGTTTGGTGTATAATAAATATGATCAATTAATGTCAATAGTAAACGTGTTACATATTACTTATTTACTATGTTATTTGCATATGAAAAATCAAATTTTAAATAATTACAAATATAAAGCACAAAAAATTCTAAAAGTTACTCACTGTATTATGTGGAAGCAAAATATCGAGGCAATCAGTGCTACCAGATTCGGCATTTTTAGTAACTGCATGTCTAATATGGCAACGACTTCGCACTTCTTCGGATACAGATACCAATGCTAATAGAGCATAAATATAACAATTATTAAATTTAATATACAAGGTGTAAAAAAAATTTATTCTTATTATTATATTAAAGAAAAGCATTTTTTACTCCTCTCGGTGAGTACTATAAGCCTCTAAACTCTTAGACAGTTTTTTTTTAACATGCTATATAATTAGGAGAATCTGTATAAACTTACCAGACAAATACGCTACGCTTTCTGGTGTAACTTCAAATTTATCCCTCCTAAATGGTTTAGCAACAATGCCTAATAACATAGCGAGTACTCTAGCTGTTCTTGTAACGGTAGTGGGTGTAGGGTGCCTATATCCTTTTAAAAGATGTCCAACCAATGCAAAATGAAAATTAGATTTAAATGAAAGTCCTACTGTATGATCTAATTGTTTAAAATGCCACTCCAAAGGCTCTCGCGTTGACATCATAACGTTCTCCAAGGTCTAAAAAATTTCAATAGTTTACAATGACAATGAAGAATATTATTTTCTTGTTTATTTTCATGATTATATTTTAAAGCAATTTTAAAACTTTTACCTTATCGTCAAAGGTTCCTTGAGAATCTAAAGTATGCAAATTTTGTTCAAGAAGTGCTAAACCACATGCATATAAAGATGCCTCATCTAATTGAAGAACGGACGTTGCAACCCAAAATAAATATCGATGAATGGGAGATTCCTTGAAAATGTTAAAATCATTAATAATTCAAACTACAAATTCATGTAAATAATTTCATTAGAACCACCGTATTAACAAAATTTAATTCTATAAAAATAACTAACATTTTAATATCGTAGTTAAATTTAAGATTTAACTATTACAGTATTAGAAATGTAATGCGCGTTAATATGGAGTCCTCTTTAATGTATCAATACGTAACAGAATATAACTTACGGGTCTAAGCAACGGTTGTAATCGAGTGAGGCACATAATAATTGCTTCGAGCAAAGTAATATCATTAAAACTCTCGAGCGCTTTTACTAATATCCTTAGTAATTGCTTCATATCCTGATCGGTTATACTTTTACTGATACATCCGAAAACAATCAAAGCTCTAGGCTGAAGAGCTGGATTAAAACAGAAGGCGAAATTTTTTGCCAAAGAAGTCCAGGTTTTTAACCAATCACACTGTGGAATGTCTCGCATACAAGCCTCCATAATTTCAAGAAGAGCATCCGTAATAATTTCTAAACTAGTTAATGAAAGTCTCTCTTTATCATGAGATCCCGAAACACTGCGCTCATTAGTGAACCACTTCTCATTCGAATGTCTATAACTAGATCTAAATGCTGTGCCCGCAGCAGATTTCACTTTACTAATTCCAAATAGTAAATAAAATTTTGGAAGAGAAAATTCATCCAAACTCATTCGTAATATTCGATAAGTGTCTTCTGAAAAGGAAGGGGAGCTACAAGTACAAAGCGAGTGAATGCTGTTAATAACCAAACCATGAGTGGAAGCACGCATACTCAGACTGCCGGAACAAACTAGAAACGTTACTGTGTGAAACAAGTACGGTAGATGTTTTCCTACATCCAAACAGTTATTAAAAGATAACATTAATAAATATCTTGCTAGAATAGCAATGTCATCCCATCTTGTATGTTGTTCTAATAGTGGCGTCGGAGAAGTACAAGTTTCATCTACAACTCGACAAAGTCTTCCTATTACTTTCTTCGCTACTAATTGAACATTTCCAGAAGCCAAAGCCACGGCAGTATCAGCCATTATTTCAACAGTCGGAGAACCAAGTCCAAAACTTACACTACGTTGAATAAAATTATCCAGAACTGTATCTATTAAATCTGGCAATCGTCCGATTGTACTCCATATCTTGGCTTGTATACTTGGATACATTTCCACTTCCTCAATAGTTAATGTAATTAATTTTTCTAAAATCTTTGTAACTTGTTTCTGACGTTTTCCCCCTTCATCATTCGGTTTATAAAATCGTACAAGATTATTTAACCATGGTGTCATGTATTCTAAACAAAGATGTTTTAATTCAATACTTGACAATCTGAAACCTTGTATACATTCCTCTAAAAACTCTAGTGTAAGATGCGGATCATTTGCAGCTAAAGTTTCACTTAAATGCTTGATAAATATAGTATTGTTTGATGGTATGCAAAGTCCAGATGTTTCCAAGAGTTGTCCTTCAATTTTTAGATCAAAAGTCGCAGTTAAAGCACACAATTGATTATATGCTGCTGTTCGTAAATTCGGATCAGAACTACCAAGGTTTAATAGCGCCATATTTAATAATGTTCCTGGTACATCTTTAGGTCTTATCTTTGGGTGAACCGACACAGTCTCTGGTTGTGACAATTCCCATCGATTTCTTATATGAATTATAGCCTGTACGATACTATCACAGTCATTATGAATAAAAGACAGCGGGCCTGTTTCATTTGAAATAGTCAATGTAAATTGATTGTCATCTACTAAACAAACTTCTTCTATTTCAGACGCATAATAAACATCATTTAAAAGAACGGAATGCGATAATACTTTGCATTTCTCCGCTGAGGTAATTTGTATAGCAGTTGGTCCAACTTTAACGGATACCTTAGTGTCCTTATGAGAAAGTTTTAAAGCGCTGTTAAAAACTTTTAAGTCTTCGTCAAGAGATAATGTAGCTCCAGGCAATTTTTGTTGATCGATATCGATTACATCATTTAAACGACCCGATCCATCAATGAAAACTACCTTTCTATTACCTTTCAATGGTGCCAAAATTCTATCATGAAATTTTGTATACTCTCTCACCCAACTGTTACAGTTATATATATACGCAGCATGAATATTTTCATAAGCAACTTTGGGTAATACATAAAACCATTTCTGTAAAAATTCAGTTCTAAATCGATTGTCTGAACATGTGTGAGTAAAATCAACAACCAATTCAAATGGAGTATGACAAAATGGTTTTAGTGTAAGAATCACGTGATATATTAGCAAATCACCATTCGTATCGCCAATTCTACAAAACAGACATAAATAAAATTATATTAATGTAATTATAAACAAAACTGCATAGTAGCAAACCACCTGATACATACTTGTAACGTCTGGCAATATAATAAAACACTGGATATCCTTGTTTGCTAGTTCCTGCTTGATAGAAAATATTCAAATTCTTGATGCTCTTAAATTCTTCATTTTCATGCATATTGTGCTTTACCATAATTTCTTCAAAATTAGTTGAAGACATATCAATATTTGACCACCGAGCGTAAGATGAAGAAAACAATAAACTAACAAAGGAATTTATAATTAAGTGTATGTTTTAAATTTAATAATTTATACATAAAAATTGCATAAATAGTATTCATAACAATAACTTTCAATAGAAGAAATTGTTTTATTATTAACACTTACTGTGAATCTACAGGTTTATGCTCTGGAGGACCAAGATAAGCCAATAACGTAGCCATTTTATCGAAAGGTCTTCTACCTACTGCTTTATGGTCCCGACTGCTGCTAAGATAATCGCCAATTCGTTCTTGATGATTCCAAAGTAATCTATGCAATGCTAAAACATTGGCATCCGATACAAATGACATTGGATGACTAGCTTGATCGACCGTTTCACAATCTGATGCTATCTGTATAAAAAATCTTCGACCAATTTCGAAATGTGCTCGTAAAAAGTCATTGAATGGTAACATATGCTGTTCTTTACTAAATTCCACATGATTTGCAATGTTTTGAAGTATTTTCGACATTAGCATAAGACCCCTTTTAATGTGAGGAGGTACAGACTTATTTACAATGCCCATTTCTTGAGGTGATACAATAGCTGGATTAATGAATCGCAAAAATATTACAGTACCAACAGCTCCAATATTATTTTGTGGACATTGTGGAAATCTTTTGCTGAGTACTTGATATAAACAATGACACATAGACCGCAATTGCGGGGGAAATCTGGAAAAGTATAACGAAATTATTATAAAATTAAACATGATTTATTAAAGATACAAAGGAAATAAGTATGTATTGAAATCTGTACTCTTAACAATATCTGTATATGAATTTATGCAATTTCTAGTAACTTACCGATCAGCTGATGATACAATAGCATCGAATACTTTTTGTGTTAAAGCAATTAAATGGCGACCGTTTTGTTCTATATTTTCATTAGAATCTATTCTTGCACTATCAACTTCAAAACCAGTAGTAGGATCATCCAATAGAGGGGTGATTAAAGGCTCTAATAAATTTTGCAGGTAACTTGCACCATAAATTTTGAAACAAAATGCCATTATTTTGCTACCAAGGCTATTTCCACGAAATAATGTTTGCATACAATCAGAAACTTCAACCTCACGATAAAACATATTCCATAAAAGAGGGGATAATAAATGCTTTGCATCAAATAATGTCACAAAAACTCGTGCTAATTCATCCATTTGATTTGTTGTTACTACATTAGCTAAAGCCATTGCAATTGGCAATTCTCCTTTGTCACTGATCATTGTAACAAGTTGAACCAACTGCTCAAATCTATCAGCTAATACTGTTTCCGCTAATGTATCAAATTCTGTTCCTTGTTGAAGAATTTTAGTGAGAACTTCCATAAATGCCGCTCGCGTTTGTAGATCTGGATTATAACCCAAACTTAATGAATGCATCAGACCACTATCGATATTTGCGCTAAGGAGATTACTCATTGCTTGTATTGTAGCATTGCGTAAAGTAGATAATTTACTACTTGTTAAACATGGTTGTTGAGAAACAATTTCTTTTTCTTCACCAGCTGTTTCATTGCAGTCATTTAGTAGATTCATGAAAAGAGTAAAATACTTCAAAAATAATTGAGATTTTGCTTCCATTAAATCACCCCGGTCAGATTCTTCAGGTTGAAGAGGAAGACCTCGTAATAGTGCTCCGACTGCTTCCATACACGCTTGATCTAAATCTCGAGTATAAACAGTTAAGTCCCCGCTGCTTGATGGAGTGATTTGATGAGTCACACCCATCACCCAATCAGTTAAATATTCGACAAGTTTATTTCTAAATTTCATTTCTTGTCGAAATGCTAGGTCATCTCGTCTTTTCATCATCGCTTCAACGAGTTGACACAACTTTGTTTTAATATGAATAGAATGTACAGTCATATCTAAGTGTCTGACATATCTGACAATTGCAAGCATCATTCCCTCTATGCTAGTCATTCCAAGGTATTCAGAAGGTTGATCTGTTTTAGAATCCAAAATATTTTTCATTATGAATATTATATGCTCGATAAATTGAGTATTAACATCCATTACTATAACTTGTCCTTGTTGATTAAAGAATTTTTCAACTATACTTTTAATTTGATCAAAAAGTATTGGGTATAGTGCAGGACTCATTTCATGGCCAACTAATTCTTTAATCTGGTTTCCAAATTTTTCATTATTACAAGTTAGCAGATGTAGTAGTAAGTTATTAACAAACTGTGTACAATATTGCATTTCTTGGCTTGGATTTGATAAACAGGGTGTGGGCTCTTGTTGTTTTGAACTCTTTTTTAATTCTGGATTTGAAGGTATTCCTGACAATGGTCTGTTTTGAGAACATTTCTGTAAACATACTCCGCCTAAAGCACAAAGAAATCCCGTCATGTTAGCCCATTCATTAATTTGCTCTTCTAATTCTTGTTCTGAATTTTGATGTGATGCTCTTCGTTTTCCTGTACTTCGATAAAATGATTCCATTTGACCATCTTCTGTTTTAGACTTAAGATAATTTTCTAACTGCCGTGACGTCACTTCCCAATTTCTAAATGTTTCTTCCCAAGCCTAAAAACAAAAAGAAACTTTACATTATTTTTTTTTTCATTAACTAATATTAATCAATATTGTTAAATCATATGTGGTAATGGTTATAAATATGATAACGGCATAAAACTTTTAAGTGACTGATTCTATAATTCTAGTCAAACTTGAAGTTATGTTATTTTTAAAAAAGTTGACATAAATGCAATAGTGCCCGTTTAGCTGACGCGGGTTCGGAATCTAGTCGCATCAATTATTAAAAGAGAAAAATGTTTCAGGAATTGTTGGCTGTTGTCTCTTTATGGCTTGCTCACCTGGTTTACTTCAATGAATAAAGGACTGCAGTCAAAAACATTAAATTCGAGTAAGGTATAAAAAAAAAACTTATTTAGAACGTCTGCTTTACAATACCATGGAATGTTATTTTTTAAAAACGGATACACAAAATTTTTACTAGAAAATAGTCAACAAACTAAGCAAAAGTAGAAACTTACAAATTGTTGGTGCACAAGTTTGCACTTTCACTTTCCATGAGTAGTTCTAATGAGTTATTTCTTCACATTCATGAAAAACGATTATTTGTTATTATTATTACTACTATGTGTATTTAAATATGATTGTGTTTGGTATCATTTTTATTGTAAGAATCTTCGCAATTTGAATAAAACAATCTTATAATTATAAAGTAACAATTATAAAAATTTTACTTTTCGTATTACAGTGACTCATTAATAACACAGTCAATTACGTCAATCGTGGATACAGTCGGACGTAAAACGCGGAAGCTTATTGCGTGAAACGAGTTCCAAGAACTGATGAGGATAAACCCGCATCAACAACTCGAGTACTACTGCACTGTACTGTATTGTACTTTTCGTATAGAACTAATGTTAGTTCTCAAAAAATATTTAAATTATTATTATTATATTATTAACTTTTACTATTATTATTATTAATATAAACTACTTTAAAAAACATAGAATATGAGTTCCATATATATTACGTACAGGCTGAACACCATTCACACAGTGTTCTATCTTCCTCAATAAGGCCATAATTCTTTTTTGTAAAGCAGCAAGTCCTAAAAAGTATACAAGATGCTCTTTGAATGCATTAACGTCATAAAACAATTATGAATTATATATTGCAATGAAAGTAGAGAAAAATAATAAAACAGCCTTAATTCTATATAATATATGTATATATATATATACGTATGTATTCACATTTTGAACAACACTTACGAGAATTAGGATCGTCATTACATGTCTTACTTTCCCCGCTGGCTGTTATGGTAACAAGGTCTTTAATACTCTACTGCAGCCATATAAGGGTTATACTAATCAAAATACAAAGTGAATTCAAAAATTCATGAATGAATGTTTGAATTCAAGTAAAATCATTGTTAATAGATACCCGAATCGAAACAAATTAAAAATAATACTGTTATTTTAATTGAATCTTTTCCATTTTAATATTGTTAGTAAAAATATTGATTTACTTTCTGTTAATGTTTAATTATCTTATAGAAACCACATTTGTTTACAAATAAATTACGAGTTGTAAAGCAAATTTAAAAATAAAAATATTATATAATGTATTCTTGATATGATATACTCATTTAACTCATACTCATTTAAATGCATCATATTTAACATTAAAATAAAATTATTCATATTTACTGATCATGCTTTAGTCATTTTTCGATTCGAATTTCTGCTTCTACTTTGGAAAGTAGGATATTTTACATTAAAGATAAATTGAAATAAGAATATTTTGAACACTTAAACTCACCAGTGATTAACACAGTAGAAGCTTGTGCCAACTCAAGATATAAGTGATAGTTAGGAAGTAAACAAGTTACTGCTACTTCATCACTACCACAACGAATTTCTGCTTCTTCACAGAGCAATGCAAAACAAGACATTGATACTAAAACTGCTTCCATATTTATACTCCACAAATACATAAAAAATACAACCTATAGAATGCAAATAATAAATTTTTTATTTTGTACACAATTGATTTGGTTGTATTTTTAGAAGATATATTTCTATGATATATTATAAATCTAAACAAACCTCAAGTTTAATATGTGCTTGTTTACAAACAGCAATGTGACTACCCACATTAGCATAATCCTTATTTTGTGCCAGAAAAGCATTTTTGCAAATTAATATTTCTCTAAGCCATTTTAGTATACCAGTATAATTAACAATTTGATGCTCAATTAACTTTTGGGAAATTGAAAAAAGAACTTGTGAACTAACATCCCAAAAAGTATTAATTGGTGCTTCTGGATTCCATGCTTTTATTTTATCTGGATGATGCAATACTAATAATGCTTCCATTGCTTCATGAGCAATATCTGGCATTGTTGATTGATGAACTAAAGAAACTAAACCATTAATTAGTTCTAAGGTCGAGCTTTGTATTTCATGGCCAGCTTTCCCTTGATTCTGTAAAATAAGTAAAAATCTTATAAGATCTTATAAATATGTGAATGTATATGTAATGTAATAATAATGATTACTTTAAAAGTTACAACTAAAATTTTCATAGAAAGTACCTACATTCAACAATAACATAGGATCAGCATGAATAAGTTTCACCATCCACAAAAGTAAATTTCTGTAACTTGATACCTCTTCTCCACGATCTCTGTACTTATTTTGTTCTTTGCCTTTAAGTGTTAAACTTTGAATCATTCGTAATGGTGTGTTTGATATGCAACTCTGTGTGACTTTATTTAAAATATCTATAAACATATTTCTAAGTTCTGCACTATGAGAATATAGAAGATCTATTTGAGGCCACCATGGCAGTCTTGGTTGGGTTACAATTCTAGAATAAGAAATTTCTTTTAATAATAAGTAAATAAACTGTACTTATTCTATTTAAAATAATAGGAGAACAATTAATTTTATATATTTTTTTAAAGTAAAAATCGAGTATTACATCAAGACAAAGATGTATTACATTATATCTAAATTACCAACATTAAACAATTTATTGCATTGAACTTAATGAAGTGTAGCTTTAATCTCTAATATATAATAAAATTTAGGTGAAATTTTATGTTTATGAAGAAAGTATAATTTTATATTTATGTTTAATTATAAAATAATTTTTTTCTTACTTGTATAATGAGCTAACCAAGACAAACTGGTATGTCGGTGGATAATTCAAATTCAAGCAGAATTTAAGTACTTCGTTTTTGTAAGGTTTAATACGAAAACAGCTAACAAAGCAGTCTATCATTAGGTCGATATCTTGGGCAATGTAGTTTTGTCCGCGAGAAGATACTTTTCCTGGATTAAAAAGTAGTGCCATCAAATCATTCATAACATGCTGAACAAGTGTGAAGATAACATTGTTTGAATCCAAATTGTTTACATAAGTTGATGCTTTACAAAGTTTAATACAAGTGACTGCTGCAGCTTCTACTACTCTACTAGAACTGCCATGCACTCCTAGGCCTCGTTTAACACTGTCAATAAATTGTTTTTTCTTTGAATGTCTTGGTGAACAGGGAGCACCAAAATCAGCATTAACTATTTCCTCTAAAACTTTTAGTGAAAGTATCAGAAGCATTATTTGTAAAGGCCAAACAGCTGCAGCTCTTCCCTTTTTATTGTCTGCAAATGTATCCAGGATGTCAAATAATTCTTCACATGCTTTTCCAAGATCTTCATTAGGTTTTTTTCGAAGCTCAGCAAATTCATGCGAATGAGTATCCATCCAATTCCAAATTGCTTTTTCTAAAGAATTCATAAGCACTATATGGGCTGATTTTTTAAGTTGTTTGAATTTTTGTATCGCTTCTATAATCAAAATAATAATAATATGATTGGTATTAACATGAGAAATATATGTAAGATATAATGATTACATATAATTATTAATTTTTTTTTCTTACTATTAAAACTATAAACATACACATATTGATGGATAGCTGAAATATATATGCAAACATTCAAATGATTAATGTATTAAAAAATTACCATTTAAAAGTTTTGTTAGCCTATGAACATCCACATTAATATGCTGAATTAGTTCAATATCACTATAATCAGCATTTTCATCTCCACATTTTGCCAGTTCCTGAAGTCTGGAGGATATTCTGTTAAACACGGCATCAAAGAAATTTAAGCTCAGTGCAAACAAAACTTTGCTCGCTAAACTTTTTAAGTGAGCATTTTGAGGATTATCATTTGGTATGTCTGAAAATAGTGTTATATTATTTATATTTTACAATTTGGTTTACTGTACCTAACACTAAATATATAAAAAATTATGTTAACTATATTTAAAATATTATTACCTATAAACTGGCATATTTCTTTGAGTAAAAACTTTACATTCACAGCCTTGTCAAATTTAGCTGTATCTTTTGGTTGATTTGCAAGACACTTTTCTAAAGTGTCCAAAATGATTATAATAGATTCATAGCAATGCCGATCTTGATCTGTACTGTGAAATATACGTTGACCACCAATACATGGTACCATTTCATTAACACCTTGAAGTATTTTAGTCAGACTGGATATTACAAGAGAAAAACGGGATTTAGAAATTTCTATCAAGAATTCTTTGTTACTCTCTTCAATCATACGAGAACTGGTGGTTTGAGGGCCACT